ATTAGTTTCACCCGCGTTAATTTTCGAAGCATTAGAATCTACTAAGACCGCCACTATGGACTAGTGGTCAGAGCTCCTCGTTACAGATCCAGAGATCCCGGCTTCAATTCCCGGCGCCACCAGATTCTCTGAGAAGTAGTGGTTCTGGAACGGGGTCCACTCAGCCTCGTGAGGATACTGAGGAGCTATTTCAAGGAAACAGCGGCTCCGGTCTAGAAAACCGAAATTAACGGCCGTGGGGATCCGTTGCCCTGACCACGCGACACCCTCTATCCGCAAAATTTCGCACTAACTTCGCCTACAAGCGGCGGTCGCTCGGTCGGTATAGTTCGCTTGCGGACTACAGGCCATTAAGTTTCTTTTTATTTAGAGTCTGCTACTATAATCCAATTATGCTCATGATTTAATGTTAGCCTTCCTCGAAATTATCGATTTAAAATTGTCGTTTTCCCTACACACTACACTGATGAATTTCTATATTTGGGAATAACACTTCTTATACAAGCATCTAAATGTTCAGTTATTAATGAAAATTTGTATTTTGACTTAAACATAAATATAAGCCCATGTTCACTTAAGTAGACCCCTAACTCTCATTCCCCTTAAATGCCACTGGCTTTAGAATAGGACAAGAAATTTGCCATTCATTTTAACTTTCAACGATACATTTGTTTGCAAATTAATCACCTCAAATTCTAGTTCATTCAGATTTTCCTTGAACACAGAAGGAATAATTTCAGTACACTGAAATTCCTTTCTTGCAGCAGTTTAATAATGAAAGATACAGCAAAATTTATGTGCTCAGAATCTTTAAGAGTTTATCAATACAGAGACTGTAGACAGATCATCAAATTTACCATCAGCGCGACTTTCACTACTATGAAATGGGTTAAGATATTTTACATCAGCTGAGTTTTCCCATAACATCAGTTGCCTTAAATCAGTAGCGTCAGTCATTTGAATGCTAGGCTTCTTTTCGTGTTGGAGCTCAATGTTCAGTTCGTTTAGTTTATCGGTAAGATCTGTGAGGATAGCAATATTTAGCAACCACCGAGAATATTCTAATTCTGGAGATGTATTCATACAGATTGCAAATAAATGGGGATCTCAAAAAAAAATTCTGGAGTTAAATCAATTCTGTCCTGAAACAACTTCACAATTTCTGAGAGAACTCTTCGAACTTGAATACAACTTCCCTGCTCAGCCAAAGGGCTTTAGTACGCCACATCAGGTCTCCATACTGTTCATCAATTTGTTTAATAAATGCTTCAAGGGCCACTGTTGAACAGGCCTAGCTCGGATCGTGTTTACAATTTTTTTTTGTACAACGCTCATCACATGTTGAAAATCGATTGCTTTAGTTTACAGAGCTTGCTGTTGAATGAGAGAGCCCGGGAAAGCAGGATCTGTTTTGCAAAGCCCAATTAAGCCAACGTTTTCACTAGACATTCCTGGTGCGACATCAAATTTTATGAATGCGAACAATCATTTCCAGATGGGTGGAATAAAATTTCAGAAATATGTTCTCACCTCTAGGGAGAGCCAGGATAGCGTAGTAGGTATAGCAACTGGCTACGTGTTGGTCGACTGAGGGGTCAGAATTCGAACCCCGGTAGGACCTCCTCAATTTTAAGTTTGATTGTTAAATACATTATATAATAAAGGGACCGCCTCTGGGGTCTAGTGGCCAGAGTTCCTGGCTACAGATCTAGAGCTCTAGGGTTCGATTTCCGGCGCTACCAGATTTTCTGAGTAGTACTGGGTCTGGAACGGGTTCCCCTCAGCCTCGTGAGGATAATTGAGGAGCTACTTAAATGGAAAAGCAGCGGCTCCGGTCTAGAAAACCGAAACTAACGGCCGTGGGGATCCGCTACTCTGACCACTTGACACCCTCTATCCGCTAAAGTTGGCACTAACTTCGCCGACAAACGGCGGTGGCTCGGTCGGTGTAGTTCGATTACGGACTACAGGCCACGGAGTTTGTATTTATTCTGAGCAATAAGACGGTCTGTATGACTGTCAATAAGATGTTAGTAAGCAGCAGATGCTGGTGTCTGCACATCTGCAGGCGGAAAACATCCCCATAACAGTACATGTCAGTAACTGTCGACTAAGTTGCTTTAACTGGGCCTCACAATAAGGATTTATGGTAGGGTATTTTTTTATTGCTAGTGGGGGGGACTAAGTCCCTGATACTGCGGCCTGTACCAGCCCCAGATGATAGGTGAGGGTGATTGTGGGGCAATTGCTGGAATGAAGATTGGCAGGAGAAACCGAAGTACTAGGAGAAAACCTGCCCCAGCGCCACTTTGTCCACCACAAATCCCACTTGAACAGACCCGAGGTGGGAAGCCAGCGACTAACCGCTTGAGCTATGGCGCGAACCCTATGATAGGGTAACTTTGGAGTGTGGTACTGGTGGTAAGTTTTCTTTCATAGTTTGCCAGGAAACGGGGTGGTATTGCTACGGCGTTCTATTGCGACCTTGCCAGCGAGAAGTTTGAAAGACACTTTCTCATTCCAGTGTCTCCGCGGACAGCATAACTCTGTGGAGTAGTGTTATATTTAGCGTCCTGTTGCACTGATTTATGTCCATGATTTATTCTGACCGTCTTACAGTGCATACATTTATTTACCTTACTCTTCTCTCTTGNTGTAGTAGGCAAAATGTTGCCCGAGAACTACCGGCCGGTCAGGCCTACCATAAACCGTATGGAACATACTGCTGAATTTCGATGTGGACGATTTTCGCCAAGATTTCCCGTCATATTGACCCATACTAAAACCCTGTTCGCATGAGTTCATAAATGGAATTTTCTATGTATCTCACATAATCGTTTGGTATTTTTTTATTTGATGTGTTAGGCTTCGTCCAGAAGTTGTTAAGTAATTCCGACTTATAGGCCCAATGATCAGCAGTAAAGCCTAATTTACATAATGCCATAAATGGAATTTTCTACATATCCCAAAATGGTTCGCGGATATTGTTGAACTTCGATATGAAAGAATTTCATCAAACGTTACTGGGTAACCCTGATTTTCAGCCAATTTGATCCACAACAAAGACTAAGGTAGCTAGGTACATCAGGACATAAATGGATTCTTTCATCTGTCTCATGAGCTGTTATATAATTTTTTGAAATTCGACGTGAGAGTCCTTCATCAGTTGTCTGGCAACACAGCTACAGTCGTGTTTATCAATAAAACACGCGAGGCCATATCTGGAATGTTTCATGTGCCCCACATTCGCACGGTTTCGTAATTGCCCTAAATTCGTTATGAAGCTTCCACCAAATTTCGATAGGAAATTGTGATTTACAGCCACACTGATTCCTAACAAAGCGCAGTTTGTATACGCATATAAATGTCGCTTTGCATGTATACTCCTCCGCTTTGTTCAGTTTCAGTGTGGGAGATCTCTACTAATTTGCATGTCATTAGCCTTAATATGCGAAGAACTTCGTTGATGATTATGTGTTTTACATTATGGAGTATACGCTTTCAAGTCTTGCTCATCCTGGTTGTTAGCCCACGTCCAACTTGCAAATTCGAGTACGCCTGTGATGATTATTCAGAATATTAACAGCTACTTGTATTTTCCGTTATCTGGAGGTTGTGTCCACCATCCGCAGACTGAATACAACCACAAAGGCTTCGATTCAACACCCGACTGAGTCAGATATTGGAAAAGTGCGTTCGGAAGAGAAAGCCACAATCTCACCATCACTCAAATCTCTTTGCTAAGATATCGCGACAGAATTACATTTTTCGGCAAGAACAGATTCCATCGATAAGGCCAGAAGGATGGGAGACATACCTTGCTCTCCTAAAGAGTTAAATATCTCTCCAGCTGGAAAGACGTTTAGGTACATATCCATGAGGGCCTAACGATTATGTTTCAAATAGGCCAATTACTTGTCAGCTTAACATGGACGATAACGAATCATGCAAATAACAAGTAACCATTTTATTCTTGTTTAAAATGCATACGAAATAAGTAATTTATTTTAATATTTCATTTGAAGTACTTGGTGACTTTTTGTTTACGCTTTTACAATTTCTTTTTTAATTCGCTTAGTGGGGGGTGGATTCCTTCTGGGCCCACTCGACACGGCGGCCACTGATTGGCCTATTGTAGCCTGCCCCGGGTGATTATGATGATGGAGAATTTGGTAAGGGGAAACCGAAGTACTCAGAGAAAATTTACCTCAGCGCCACTTTGTCCATCACAAATCCCACTTGACGAGACCCGGGATCGAACCCGGGCCGCCTCGGTGGGAAGCCAGCGAGTAGCCGCTTGACCTATGGCGCGGCCATGTTTCTATAATTACTTAACGACATTACATTAGGGGCAGAGGTTACGTACTGTAAGATTCCGAATTGAGAAGACCATAATTTGGAATCGCCTGCCGTTATGAACTATTCGTATGATCAGCTTTTCCCAAAATGTGATCTGCGAATCAGTTTCGTATGCGAAAATTCTCCAGAATTCCAAGAAGTAACTCTTTTATGGCGAATTTGTTTAGTTCTGTCTGCATGTATGTGTGTATTATTTTAAAATAAATGTGTAAAAGAGTCTTATAATTATTTATATTTTGTTTTGAAACTTGTTTGTAGTCTGTTCTCATATCTGAGATGAAAATATATACCAGTTATACCATGCCCTTCACGCATGACCGGTTCGGGCTACCCAGACTGTGAGCATACTGTGCTAAGCGTAGCTTATCCTCCTTAAACGAGAGACGGCTGGGTAAAGAGATTGTAGGATTCTGTTACTATTTATCTTTTATGGCATGGCTGATCTACAAATGACTCACTGTGAACCTATCCTTATTCCGTGTATTTATGTTCACACATCTGTTTCCTGGCCTTAGTTATGGTGCTGAATTGAAATGGTGAAATATACATTTGAACAGCGGGGTTTTAATGTACGATACTTAAGCGAAAAGAAATAACAACACAGATAGTGTACAAGAAGGTTTCTCAGTACTTACCCTGGTGCTCGAGTCACAGCGTCATCAAAGATTTCAGAACTCGTGAAGAAAGTGAGTTCAACTGGATCTTTCTTAGACAAGGATTATTCTATAGGCAGGATGCTGTGGTAACTGAGGAAAATCTTGACGAAACTGGAGCCAGATACGAATATCCCTGACACTGTTCGCTAGGCAGACGTCATGGACAGCGGTCACGCCTGCGGAAATACAAAATTAGAGAGATTCAAGCAACGAAAGATGGTGACTACAAAAGAAGACTGCGGTTTAGTAGTTGATTTCTGTGATCAGCACACTAAAATTTCCTTGACCCAAAGCGTACATTTTTATTGATGAAGTTTCGTCCCAAATAAGTGGTTATCAACCCTCCAAACAATATATATTTTTTTTCCTTGGCACTACAGCCCCAGTGGGCCTAGGCCTACCTCCATGAACTTCTCCGTTCACTTCGGTTTTTCTAGATCTTACACATTCGGTAGGACTCCTTGGGCGGGTGATCAGCTCGTCGCAAGGCCTCTACCTGTACACAAACACAGAAACACGCACACACACAAACTAAACATCCATGCCCTGAGTGGGATTCGAACCCACGATCCCGGTTTCCAAGCAAGCGAAGACAGTACATGCCTTACACCGCTCGGAACAATATTCACTGAAGCAATATTAACCACAGACATTCTTGACGATCTGAACCTTGGTGTGTGGTGTGTCACTGCTGCTACACGAAGAACAGATTATCCGTCCAGAGGGATACTTCAGTGCTATTCTTCTGCCGTGTTTTGAGAGCATTATGGAAGAATAAAAGACATGGTTATTTAGTGCGAGATGGTGCCGCACCTCACACTGCTAATTGTTACTTCAATATTTTAAACGAGGACCTTCAATAGAGACTGATAAATCAGAAATTGTAGCTTACAAGTTCTCCAGACTTAAATCCCTGTGACTGTTTTCTAAGGGAAAACATAAGGCAAAGGCAAAGGAACCTGACGATTTTCAAAAGTTTATAAAGCAGTGAAATTTTATTTTAATTTTTAATTTACTTGTACAAAATGAACAAACATTGAATGCCATTTTATTCCATATGCATTTTAACACAGTTCTGTTTATTTCGTTTTGAACAGCACACCACTAAGACGTTGCCCATCGAGTACACATTCTCACAACCTCACAAGGGGTTCCCAGTCCTCGCCTCGCCATGTTTTCTGGTACCGTTGAAGTCCGGTTCCGAATTACCGTCTTGAGGTCATCCATGGTCCCTCGTCTAACGGCGTACACTTTCGATTTGACGTACCCCCAGAGGCAACAATCACAGACCACGGTAGCTCGCCTCGCAGTGAAATAAAGCGCTTCGGAAACATTTCCCGAACGACCTCCATGGATGTTCTCGCTGTATGGGCGGTTGCAGCATCCTGCTCGGACCATATGGTCGACAGCTCAGTTCCGCGGCGACTTATTTCTGTTGTGAGGAAGTTCCGTAACATTTCAACATAACGAGCGGATGTGACTGTAACTGCACGCTCAACTTCTTCAAAGAAGTAAAGGGCTATGACTCCCAAGATTGCCACTCCACACGGAACAGTCACGTGTGCTCTGTGAAGAGGCCGTTGATGGAGCTGATGCGGATTTTCCTCTGCCCAGCAGCGAGAATTCTGTTTGTTGACAGAAGCGTGCTTCATCTGTCATGAGGACAGTGACATCGTCGGACAAAATTCCGATTAAACACTCAGCCACCGTGCTACGGCTTGCCTTGTTATGATCCCTTAACTCTTAGACCGGCGATCGCTCGGTAGGTATAGTTCGTTTGCGGACTGAAACCATGGAGTTTGTTTCTTTTTGTTTTTTTTTTATGTAGACTGCTGATCCAAATTGCCCTGTTCCTTTGTGCCTCATCTGTGACAAACGGCTTACAAATGTAGCAATGGCTCCAGCAAAATTGAAACTGCATTAAACTACAAATCACAGCCGCATGACTAGTAGAAGTTCTTAACAAATGTTTACTACAAATGATTCATTCCATTTCAAGACCCTATATTTTCCAAAGTATTATACATACAAAATGATTTATATATGAAAAGAACCGCAAACTCACCAAGTTTGCATCGTGATACACCAGGTGGCAGCAGGAATGCAGTGCCTCACAAAATGGCGACGAAGCTGGAAAATAGTTTCTGCGTGTTGGAATATGCGAGATGTTCGTCTGTTATTGCACTGCAGCGTGCATTCACAGCAGAGTACAGAAAAGAACTACCATGTAAACAGAGCGTTCTGCGGTAGTATCGGTAGTTTAAGGATACTGGTTGTCTGTGTAAACGGAAAAGCACGGGGCGACCAATATAGTGTTTTGAAATGGAATGAATCATTTGTAGCAACCCTGTATTTTAAACGGCTATTGGAATCTCAAAACAAACAGAGTAAAGCTTTTGTTAGTAAAGTCATGGTCAGTGAAAATACTCAGAAAATAAGTTATTTAGTAGCAAAACGTATTTCCAGAAAAGGAAATGAAAGTCACACAGTTAGTGGCAACCAAATTAAAGCCACCATGTAAAATTATGGGGTGCTAAAATGCAGTATAAAAAATCGAAAATTTTCCACTTTCAAACAGCACAATAAATACAGGTACTGATGACATGTTACTTGATGCTGAAGAGGTTTTGCTTGATAACCTGAAAAATAGCAACTTCTCTATCCAGGTTGATGAGTCAACAGATTTCACCGATGAAAATTATGTTGTAGCATTTGTAAGATTTGTAAATGATAGTGAAATCAAAAGGCATGATATATTTACTGTCTTGTCATCATATCTGGCAACAAAAGTTCTGTCTTGGGAAGACTGTTTAAGCATCTGTAATGTTGGTGCCCCTGCAATGGTTGGCTCCATTAGAGGTTTCACCTCTCATGTAAACAAGGAAAATCCTGACGTTGTCGCAACACAGTGCTTTATTCACAGAGAGGCGCTGGTTTGAAAAACTCTTGGAGACGAAATGAAAAGAAGTTTTGGATGATGCTACAAACTTTGTAAACAAAGACCAGTTCTCTCAAGATTGTTTAAAAAACTGTGTGAAAACCTGGACAAACAGCATATACATCACCTGCTACATAGAGAAATCCGGTGTCTTATCAAAGGAGGACTTCTCAACAGGATGTTTGAGCTGAAAGGCGAATTGCAGGATTTTTTTTTCCTTGGCACTACATCCACAGTGGGTCTAGGCCTACCTCCATGAACTTCTCCGTTCACTTCGGTTTTTCTAGATCTTACACATTCGGTAGGACTCCTTGGGCGGGTGATCAGCTCGTCGCAAGGCCTCTACCTGTACACAAACATTCATGTCCCGAGTGGGATTCGAACCCACGATCCCGGCTTCCGAGCGAGCGAAGACAGTGCAGAATTTCAGGATTACTTTCAAGACAACAGTAGGCCATACATTGCAAAATGCTTTGTAGATGAAGACCAGCTAAAGATACTAGCCAACTTGGCAGACATGTTTCATCACATGAACCAATTTAACAAGTTTCTGCAAGGGACCGGAGAAAATGTTTTGACTTCAAGTGACAAGATTTTTGGATTACACAAAAACTGAATGTTTGGAAAAATCATTGTGAGAGGAAATCTTGAAATATTTTAACTGCTGCTGGGGCTTGAGAGTGAAAAAAGGATATCAGCAAGTCTTGAGTCTTACTGAAAGCCACTCTGAAGAACTGCAGAACAAAATTAAACACGATTTTCCCTTCGTTTCAACCAAAGTGTATGACTGGATGAGGTACCCTCGCTCTGAATCATCTGCTCAGCCTGAGAACTTGACTTTAGGAGAAGAGGAAGAGCTCTGTGAGACTGTTCGTACATTTACTGACCAATCCCTGGACAAGTTCTGGATTTCTGTGAAGGCAGAGTATCCTGGCATTCACAGGACAGCAATACATGTACATATTTCACAGTTGTCGACTTCTTACATCTCTAAACAAAATTCTTGTTCAACAAGTACCAAGAACAGAGATATAAATCATCTCATTTCAGCACAAGATGGACTCTGTGTGTGCTTATCTACAGTTCGACCCAGAATTAACTATTTGTGCAACAAAAGCAAACACATGTTTCACATTAAGGAAGTATGTTTCAATTATAATTTTAGTTCTAAGAACAACATTGTCTTAGCTGATGGTTTTATTCATACTGCTTTCATTTATCTTATGGTTTTCAGTAACCTTACTATTAAATATTGTCAATGAATATTCATGTTATAAATAGCACAAATTAGGAACACTTTACAACAATTCTTTACACCAAATCCAGAGCCCACGCTTATAATAAATGTTATGTAGGGTTTCCCCGAGATTTGAAAATTATTTCGAGGGTTCCTTCAGGGTAAAAAGCTTAGAATATATATAATCTCAGATACTAACAGTGTCGTTAAACGTGCAACAAGTCAATAAAATACGCGGTACCAATAACAGAATATTGGTTGACGCGAAAATATTCATAAGATTGTTATAATAAATAAGTGAATGCTTTTTTTCCAGTACAAATTATTTTACGAAAATCTCATGTGAAGAAAGGATTACTGTTTTTTGGTCAACGGTAATATATATTCATGCTTTGTCACAATAAATAAGCAACTTTAAGTACTCTCTGCTCTATATTTTTAAAGAGGCATTCAAAGATCAGTTCTTTTCTAGTAAAAGTGATATATTTATATGACGGGCATGGCGTAGTAGGGCTTTTACGACATGGGCTGCTGAAACGTGGTGCGGTTACAAGCGCATGCGCCTTGCACACGTGGTACCGCAGAACATGCAAGCGTTTGCGACGTGATTATTCATTATCTCAGCGAAATTTTGGACTCTGTCCACTGTCCCATGTATATATATATATATATGATGTACATGACGTTTCTTAAGAATGCTCTGGTATCGTCTTTTGGTAATTGGTTGCTATTTTACTGACAGATTATTTTTTTTATTATTATTATTCTATGATTAGATGGTTGCCAGCCAAGCGAGCCTTCATGCAAGCAGTATGTGACTCCCTCTGAAATAGGATAGCAAGTAACCACATTGGTTTTTTAAAATACGCGGAGTCATAACAAGACTGTGACCACGTGATTTTCATCAATTAGCTCACTAGCTTAATATTGAAACGGCTCTGAATTTCATCCCAATCATCAACACTGATGTTTGATTAAAAAAGTGAAACAAAATGTCACTG